AACCGGAGAGGTAAATGCAGAAGAATGTGACTCCTAGCTGACCTCCTTTATCTGGCCACAGATGTGACAAGGATTGTGACAACTTCAGAAAAGTCCTTGATGTCGAGGGTTTTGTTGCTCTTATAAGAGAAATAGAAAGTGGGGCTTCAAAAACTCAGGATGCAGTTTTCCTAAATCGTTTGTGATCCAAACCCATGTAATTCTAGAGCTGGGAACCCACACCAGGAATTCTAGAGAGGAGGGAATTCCGTCGGGTGAGATTTGCTGCAGTGCAAGGCATGAATAACAGGGCAAGGATGGTTGTGTTTGAATGACAGTGCAGAGATCTGACCTGAAGCCCAGCAGGTGAGAAGATCCTGCCCAGGTTAAAAAGCCACCACATTAGATGACTATCACAAAACTAGTACTGTGTAAAGCAGGGGTGGCCAACCTGTGGCTCCGGAGCCGCATGCGGCTCTTCAGAGGTTAATATGCAGCTCCTTGCACAGGCACCGACTCCGAGGCTGGAGTTATAGATGCTAACTTTCCAATGTGCCGGAGAGTGCTCAGTGCTCAACCCCCTGCTCTGCCCCAGGCCCTGCCCCCACTCCAGCCCTTCCCCCCGAGCCTGCCATGCCCTCGCTCTTCCCCCCTCCCCACCAGAGCCTCCTGCACACCGCGTAACAGCTGATCGCGGCGGGCGGGAGGCACTGATTGGTGGGGCTGCCGGCGGGCAGGAGGCGCTGCAGGTTGGAGTTGGGGGAGTTAACGGGGGGCTGCTGACGTATTACTGTGGCTCTTTGGCAATGTACGTTGGTAAATTCTGGCTCCTTCTCAGCTCAGGTTGTAAAGCGCCCCTGCTGCAAAGCGTCTGTGCAATGGGAGTAATGCCAGCTGATGTTCACATTCCTGGCTGACGCTTCAAACAAACTTATCAGTCAGGATTTTGCTCCTCTGTTCTATTCAGTGGTTGTTTGTCTTATTGATTAGTCTCAGAAAAGTCACCCTTGTCGTGATTTTAACCATTTGCAGCAGCATTCCCATGGGGAGAGGACCGTGGAAGCAGGAAGCAGCCGCACTTAAAGGATCATGTGAACTTATTTTTTTCTGTATAGTTTATAAGGAAAGAAAATGTTACCCTTTCCTCCGGCTGTTTTCTGAAAGAAAGGGGTTGTTGGGCGGCCAGAGGTGGCTTCAGAGTGGATAGTCAGGCCATCCTTCACAGATGGGAATCCATTCAGTATGATGACAGGAATATGTCCAATCCACAAGGTGAAGATGTTCCCGTAAATCTGTGCCAACTAGAGACACCATCAGTGCCAGAAAACCACAAGTCAGAAAAACTGTGCACGATGAAACAACTGCCCAGCTTACTTCAGGATGCTCTTTGGGGGGGGGCGAGGGGGAGGGAGGGTTGTAGAAACATTTGTAGTGAAACCCCAAACCATGGCGAAAGACATAGCTGACTATGAGATAAGACCATACTCTCTCCTCCAACAGGATGTCTCAGCAGCTGTGTCAGGGGGATGCTGTTTAAATGTCTTGTACGGAATGGGATTAGAGTTACTACAGGTGAATTTCACCTCATGATTGGACAGATGTCCCCAGCTGTAGAACGGCTTGTGCCTTCCAGTTAAGGGGACAATTCTGTGGTGTCTATTCTATTACCCTGTAAACATTGCATCTAAAACACACCGAATAAAGGTGGTAACTTGCATTCCTGGGAGACTTCTTATTGTCCCTTGGAGTCACAGTTTATCAGGGTTAGTTATATGTGATAATGCTGGGCAGTGTCATGCATCTCAGTCTTCCTAAGTGCCCCTTGCAGTGACCTACCTCATGGAAGCATCTCATTTTCTCCTTTAGAGCTACTGGCAAATTACAAACAGCCCAGTGCACAGAAACATCCCTATTAATGTATTTCCCCATCACACACCGTTAGAATCCGAGAAGATTAGGGTTGGAAGAGACCTCAGGAGGTCATCTAGTCATTCCTCTCACCTGCCCCTGTTTTCTGAATCCTTTCAAGCAACCAGATTTCTCGGCCTGTTATAAAGGGACATTCACCCCAGAACTTGTATAAAGGGCAAATTTCTGCCTAAGGCAGCCGGTCATTTGCTGCCTCTCTCTTTGCACTAATTTCTGTCATTGGTGTTTGAAAAAGATCTTTCGGTCTCGCAATGCGGCTATTCCTTCTGCCTGATGAAACTGTGTGTGTCCCAGGTTCTTAGTGAATGCGATGCCACCTACTGAGCATTAAGGCTTCAGTGAAGAATTGAGCTGGAAGGGACGACGGGCTGGGAAGGAGCATAGCCATCCCAGAAACATAAATACCTGGATACAAGCAAATGTAGCAAGAAATACTGAAGGAAACCAGGCGACAGCTGAATAGATTTAGGCTGAACTTTTCCAAGGAGGTGCCTCAATAAATCCATATTTAGCACCTGCAGCTCCCATCGACTTCAGTGGGACTTGAGGGAGCTCAGCACCTCAAAATATCATCTCACTTTATCTAGGGAGTTACATATACATTTAGGAGCCTACTCAGGACCTATCTGGGTTTGAACCCCACCCCCTTTAAGCAAGTCAATTCTTTTTGCCGAGTCAGGAACACTTCGTTCTCATTCAATCTTCTGCTTAGCAAATGCCACTAAATTCCCACTTTCATCGCTAACACGTCATGGAATTTGTGGCCCTCATTTACTGTCCCATGCACAAGCCAGATGAAATGTTATTTAACACATTGAAGTGCTTTATTCTACAGCTGCTGCGTTTTGCTAATTTTATCATTTACTTGGCTATATTTGGACACACATTCACAATACCTTAATGAGATTCTCATGCTGGCGTTTGAAATCCATCTGCAACATGGTGCCGATGAGGGGGAGGGGAGTTGGTCCAGGAGGAAGCCGGCTACATGCCCACTTCAGTTTCAGAAATTGCACAACAAAGAGAGAGATGACCAGCGCTACTAAAAACTCGCTTATCACCAACATCGCTCGGCTGCTCTATCTGTCTGTCTACTGTGTGGTCAGATCTGAACTCTCCCTGTCTTTTTTGAGGTCCTAGATCTCCCTAAATAGGCTTTAATCCCCTTCTATCTACCTCTCTCCTTCTCCCTGTGATTCCCTGCTTTTATACCCATCATCAAAGTGGTGAATTGCAAGACTCATGTGTATTTAATAAGACCTTTGTACTGAAGAATAAGCCAATCTTTCTGCTAGCCAAACCTTACCCACCAGACTTTAACCTCTAAAGCTCCCAGTGAGACTGGCCTGCCTTCCTCTACATAAATGTTACGTGTAAAGGTAAAAACCAGTTTGAATGTTAATTATCTAATTTGATGAAAGGTTGGGAGAAAGCCCTCGGGAAAGTTTTCACACAAATTGAGAATTCTCACAGAAAGGAAAGGTTACTTACCTTGTACAGTAAACTTGAGTTCTTCAAGCTGTGTCCCCCTATGGGTTCTCCACGTCAGGATATCCGC